GATGGAATTTTAGAGGTTAATAATTACACATCTGAATTTGTTCCATATGTTGCTGGCATTTTCGGAAATAAAACATTGCATGCAGGCGAATCCAAATCAAGGCAATATTCTGGTGGCACTGACGGTCGTTTCACATTTCCAACGTCTTTCGCACATTCCTTTATTGTCTCATCATTACCGTTATTGTTACCAATTAAGAAAAATAACATATAAAGGTGTGGAAACATTTTCAGCAATAAGGATTAATCTCACTCATTGCACCTCTTTATGCCTAAAAACTATGTGGGTGTTAGCAGTGATAAAAGTTTATTCAGCTTTAGGAGATATCTCCCTGAAATAAATGTAGCAATTTGTTGAATTTCAATTTTTCATTGCCAATAATTTTCCAGAGAATCAATCATTTCGATAAAACAAAACCGGAAGTTTTGCGAATTTCTCCAAAATTTCATATTATCATATTCTCTTTTCTTTTTAGTTCGCTTTAGGTTACTTGTGAACGTGTAATTTATTAATTTAATATTAATATAAGATTATCTTTTATTCTTCTTCACTGCCGAAATATTTCGCTGTCAAAAATTTGGCTTTACCACTAATAAAAAATTCTATTCTAACTGGTGTAATTGGTGCAATTTATTTAGCAATATAACATTGCCTAAAATTTGTTTTATACATTTTTGAAGCTCCTTGGTCGGTTCTCTTTTCCTCTGAACACTTTCACTGGAAATATGTACGGGATTAATTCGGAGATCATTTGATTATTTGTACTTCTATCACGTCACTGCAGTCATTTGGGGATAGAGATGCAGGTGGATTCCCGGTAGTCACCCGGACATAATGGCAGGTTTACTCTTGCCAAAGACAAAAAAATAAATTGAAAGGAAATAATAAAATAGGCAATTAAATTTTAAATATATATATATATATATACATATCTGTATGTATATAGAAAATATATATATATATATTATTTATGCAATTTAATTGATTTGATTTATAATTTATTTAAATTTAATTGATTTAATCTTAATTTATTTTAATTGTTGTTTAGTAAAAAAAAATTAAAAGTTTAAGAAGACTTAGCTGAAAAAGACTTAGTGATGAGAAATGAAAAATAAATTCACAAAAATAGATCAAATATATTTTTTGAAAACGACAGCTCAGTAAAAATTTTTTTGAAAAAATTTATAGCCCGAATCACGGCAGCTAGAAATGCGTTCTTCCGGTTGACGAAATCTTTATGGAGCCTGAAATTGCCATTAAAACAAAAGTCCGCATCTACATAATCGATTCGTTCGATTTTGCCATATGGTTCTGAGACATGGTTAATGAGAGTGGATAATATTAAGAAGCGATCTTTGACCACTTTTATCTAAGGTACATTTTACGGATCCGTCGATAAAATATCACATGATCGCATCCACCTTCGTTCAAACACCACCTATATTAATAATGTTACCACAGAGAGTCGTCTTCAGTGGTTAGAGCACGTTCTCCGTCCACCACAAGAGTTATCGCATATTTCGTTACATGCTAAATCATGTGATGGATGGCATCAAAAGCAAGGTGGGCCAATCAAGACCTACTAATACGGACTAACAGGATAGATTTTGAACGCATAGGTGGACCAACAATATATGGACTTTGACGATGGAAAAAGGAATGGCTTCTATTACTGTCGACGATGGCATCAGATCTCGCGGAAACGTCTTATCCTTGTAGCAGTTGGAGCCAGCTTAACCAGTAATGGTGAGAGCTATTAGAAAAAAAAGATATCACGTGGTCACGTGAATTTCACGATAGGTTCATTGTCACCAATGATCTAAAATTCTCCTTCAGTATCGCTAGTAATTACTATATGGTTAACAAAATTTTGCCATTGCTGTTAGCAGAGTAATTTTTTACAATGTATTTCAACTGGAGAGAAGAAATAGTTAAAATAAGTTAAATAGTCGAATCGTTTTTCGATGAAAAATTCGAAAAGATTTTATTCGTCGGCTAATATTCGTGAATGAAAAATTTTCCATCAATGCATAAAAAACTTTTCAAAAAAATTCGTCAAATATTTTCAAAAAAACTCTCTAAAAAGTCGTTCAAATATCTTTAAAGCGTCTTTTTGCTTTATTTGTCGTCTTTCCGATTTCCGATTTTTTCGAAAACACTGAAATGAATATTGGAATTTTTTTTCAAAATCTAATTGTAAAATTAATAATAAAATAATAATAAATAATAAATAAAATAATCAATAATAATTAATAATCAATCAATATAATAAAATGGAATTAGAATAAATGCAAATTTTCTCGACGAACGTTTCATACAACTTTTTTTAATTCTAACTGATTTCTACGATAAAATAAAATATTTTCAAACCATTCGCGGTATAAGTGGTTTTTAACGATAAAATAAATGACAATTTAGCTAAAGGTCTAAATCACTAAAGCTGTACAAATTACGGTTTCGAAATTTTTTTTTTTTTTTTCGCCAAAATATTCACATTTATTCATTGTTGTTAAATAATCAACTACTTCTTCTTATATTTTGCTATTGTATGCTTTTATCTGAGTCGTTTAATAAAAAATAAACACATTGCACATTTTGTGAAAAGAACCATAGAAAGCGATAACATAACAAAAATGGAAATATTCCTTGGTTTTTTATTTCGCAAAGTTTATAACGAAGCAATTTATGCATAAAATGCAAGCATTTTCCATTTTCTCAACTAACCAGGCTTCGATTATTCCGATCTAATGATTTAATATGAATTGATGAACAGAGTGATGTTTAAATGAAACGACATTGATGAATCGTTAGGATAATTGGCTAATCTGCTATTTAATATTTTAAGAAGTTCTATCAATTTTAATTTTAACTTTTATTTGGCGATTAAAACGAATTTCTTGCAATTCTCATAAACCTCATATATAAAACCTCATATACATATATAAAAAACAACTTCCCAACAATTTCTTCGATACATATAGGCATTTTTTCCTGTTAAAGCATTCACCATTTTTGACTAGGCTCGTTGGCTTGTCGAACCAGATAAATTTTACAGGAATTCACTTGGCATTAGAGCTAACATGAAGCGCGGATTCGCCAGCATCGTTCGGAATTTTGAAAGATAGTTTCTGATATTTTATATAACCAGTATTGCCTAAAATATCTAATCATTCGTTATGCATATTAGTGGTATTGTTGATAGTTCTTAAATATTTACCTCCATGATAAAAATTTAGTAAGTATGAAATCAAATGAAAGTATCAATGGTCGAAGCCAACATTAGCAGAAAGCATTTCCACAATGGAGCTTGGTTAGCCAATTTTCGAATTTTCGAATCAAAGCTGACCGAGAATTTCTACGGAGTCGTTGTCCCCGAGTTCAATTCTCTCTTGCAACTTACCAACTAATTTTATTAAACAACCGGATTACGAACTAAAAACTATAATTCCCTTTGAGCTAATCACAGTTCAGAAAAAGAATAATTAGAGGAAGCCTGAAGGGTCGAGTTAAGGAGAATTAAAAAGAATAATTAGAGTCTTGTTTCCGGTTTATTTATGTACAGACAAATGGATAACTCTATTAAAACCAACACAGTAACCATATCAAATGGTGAGCAATAACAACGATGAATCGCGTTTCCAAAATGCGCGATCTAATGCCATCTTCTTCTAACAGCTCTCACTATTACTGGTTAGGCTGATTCCACTGCTACAACAGTAAGACGTCTCGAAACAGCGCGATATGGTACCATCGTAGACAGTAATAGAAGCCATTCCTTTTTCCATCGTCTAAATCCATATACCTATAAATTCACCTATAAATTCAAAATCTTTCCCTTCTCTATTAATCCAGGTCTTCAATATCGCACCTCGCTTTTGATACCACCCATCACAGAGTTTAGCAAATAACAATATATTTCTCAACTCTCCTGGAATGAGAGAGACGAACGACAAAGGCCATAATCAACGAAGGCATCGCTCTACCTATTAAGCACTGAAATGAATTGGCCTCAAACATGGTTCATTTCTTCAATTCGTATTAATTTTTAAAATTGGATTGAAAAGAGTTATCCATGAAAGATAAGATGGATTTTTAGATGGATTTTCTAAGATGGATTTTTTCATTTCCTCAACAATTTTGGCTAATTTTTCTCACTTTTTTATTATACTTTATTAAATAAACATTTAAATCTAATTTGATTTTTTTCAATTCTATCGTTTAAGTGAATTTTTACGATGTTTCGCTTCGATTAAAGCAAAAAGAACATATTTCTTTGAAACAAATAGGAACCTTCACCTTCTTCCCTTACTGAAAATAAATCGACCCCGCAACTAAATTCAGTGGTACTCAGAATTTTTCAATTACATTTATCTGATCTGAGTATTAGTATTTGAGTTTGCTAGCAAATCTGATATTCTTTCTCCGTTCGATCTGAATAGTAGTGGTTCTATATTGCAGTTGCTTTTTCGGTTACTGGCTGAGAGGGATGGTTTTTTAGAATATGGGGTTTAGATGGATTATTTGAAGAGTCCTGAGCATTCACCATTGTTAATTATACGTGATATATTTCACCAGGGAGGCATTTTGCGATGAAATACAGGTGAATCGCCAGCATCAGGTGGGTTTTCAAAAGATAAATTTATTCCTAGCGGGTGCAGAACGGCAGCATCGGCCTTCCGACTTGAGCAACAACCCGCTGAGCCATTTACTCTCTTACATTGGCTTCAACACAGACTATTCTCGATACTCGTTGGTAATCCGCTAAGATACCCACTCAACAAATTAATACAATTTTTAAATCTTCATTGTTAGTTTTGTGAGCGATAAAGTGGTAGAATAGTTTTGAAGACTAAAATCGCGTCATCGCTGGTCTATTATTCTGCTGACTTCTCTTATTTATTTAAAAATTTTTGATTCATTTTTTCAGGAAAACTAAAAAAATTTTGGAATTTTCACTTTGTTATTTATAGTTTCTTAGAAAATTAGAAGAAGTAGAGAAGATGACGGGAACAGAAAGGAAAGTATTTCAGGTAAGCTTATACGCCAATCCTTTTTTTTCAAATTTCAAATTTCTTACTTTTCAGCGTTCAACATTTGTGATTTATATGAGTTTTCTTAATCTTCCAGAAGTACTATCCGCCAGATTTCGATCCATCGAAAATTCCTCGAGCCAAAGGCCAACGAAATCGGCAATTCGTTCAACGAGTTATGGCTCCATATAATATGCAATGCAATACATGTCACGAATATATTTACAAGGTTTTCATTTCTATTTTTTTTTTTTTAAATCTTTTCTGATATAAAATATGCATTTGTCCGAGTAAAATAATGAAGAAAAAAAGTTGAATTAGAAATAGGTGATAATGGCTTACTGATAAGGATTTATTTCCATTTTCAAGTGATTACCTGGTGAGAGAATCTTTTTCTAATAGTCAGTAGAATCAGCCTGAATCAGATGAACTATAAAATCGAATTGTTTTATAAATCGTAATAAAGTCTTTTTATTTTCTGATTATTGTAATTTCTTCAGTCAGTCTTGTTATGACCCATTTGGTCCATTGCTTTCCCTAATATTTTGGTTCATATTTTTTTTACTTGAATATGCAAAGACATCTTCGAAAGAAATATGTGGAAAGGAAACAAGAAATATAGAAAAATGTTAAATGTTGCTTTCTCAAATTTATGGTTTCAGGGCAAAAAATTTAATATGAGGCGTGAAACAGCTGAAGGCGAATTTTATTTGGGACTAAAAATATTTCGTTTTTACTTTCGGTAATTTTTTTTTTATTAGCCAGTTTTCCCAGTTCTTTCGAATTCTGTAATTTTGGATTGAGCTTCTGTCGTTTTTTCCATATACATCCACTGCTTTTCTCGTCTTCATTATTCATTGTTTTTTGCTTTTGCAAGAAATTATATTTGTGTAAATTTTATAATCTTTGGTTGCTTCCCAGATGCCCAAATTGCTTAGCAGAAATCACTTTCAAAACGGATCTTGAAAATTGTGATTATCAACAAGAGCATGGTGCAACGCGTTTGTTTGAGGCATTTAAACTTTACCAACAAGAAGAAAAGGCTAAAGAGACTCGAGATGAAGAGGATAAGAAGGATCCTATGAAAATGCTCGAGAAAAGGACCAAAATGAGTAGAGCTGAGATGGAAGCGATTGGTCAGTTGTAAAAACTTTTTTCTTTGAAAAAGTCGTTTTGATGGGATATTTTATTCATTTAGTTAATTTTTTAAAAAAGCCTTTTTTGGATAAAATTCATCTCCAGAAAATACTTTAAGTGTTCATAGATTTATCCATCCATCGACAACATTTCAGGAAAGTTAGAAGAACTGCAAGAATTAAATCGCCGTCAAGAAACTTTTGATCCAGATAGGTATTTGCATAATGTTAACGTCGCTGAAGCTGAGGTTATTATTTCGAGTAGTGTTTTGAATAATTTTTTATTTTTTAAATAGCTTAAGTTATCTCAAAAACTTAAAATTTTTCGTTTCATATTTTTACTTTATTTATTTGTAGGCCTTAAAGAAACAGGAAGAAGAAGATGAGAAGTTTATTAAAAGTATCTTTCACCGTACAGAAGATGGAAAAATAGTTAAACGAATATTGGAAGATACCAGTGAAATTGATGTCAAACCAAAAATGAAACTTTCTTGTCCAGTGCCCAAGCAACCTTTTGAATCTGCTCAGAAGAAACTTTTGTCGAAAATAGTTGTCTTGAAAACAAAGAAAAGTGATGCTGAAATAAAACAAGAGGTGAAAGAGGTGAAAAAAGAAGAAGTTATTGAGGATAAAGAAAAAAAACAGATAAAAGTCGAAGTTGATGAATCTTATTCATTATTAGAACAAAAAGCATCAAATTCTGTGGAAAAAATTTCTGTAGATTGTGATCAACCCTCTGTGTCAAAGGAGCCGCATGCGAATACTAGCGGAGCGCTTCAAAGTTTAGCTGACTATGGCAGTGATTCTAGTTCGGAATAATTTCCTATTTTTTCATGTTTAATAAAACATCTTGATATGAAAGCAAATGCAACACATTCTTTGACTGGGTAACTTTTTTGCCTAACCCATAAGAAAAGTGCTAAGTTGAATTGTATATATATAATAGAGTTGTTCATATTCATATTTTGTAAAATGCTAGATTTTGGTCAGTTATTTTTTATAATTTATAATTAAGATAATTTATGGTTTTAAATAATTTTGGATGGAATTTTTGAATATTAGGATCTAATTTGCTGTGATAATGATAATGTTAAAAGTTGAAAATTATTTATCAGTTTTCTGGTTGAGAACAGTTAAAGAAAACAATTGAGAAAATGTAGAAAAGGAATTTGGAATCAGTGAATTTGAATAAATCTCTCATAAGTAATTTATTTTCGTTTGCACCTCACTTGTACATAAGAGGGATCTTTCGAGGATTAAATGCATGCTAGCAGTGATTTCCGTTGTTATTTAGCTCGAGCTATCGAAAATTCATCGAGAAAGCGTACTGTTTTTACTGTTTCTATAAAGTATATATATATATATATATTATTTTTACCAGTTGTGAAGTACCAAACTAATGGAGGTCAATGTAAAATTTATTTATATGATAGAAGTGAGTTATCTATACAGTTATGACCTGGTAGCATTTATGTTCACATATATGTAGCAGAAATATTTGCATATAATATTTGCTGTGTAGTTTTTGCATAGAATTTCCGAATATCGCTTGTATATTTTTTTGTGCATTTCGCTTATGACTTACTTTAATCTTCTATTTACCTATGATTTACCCGAAAGTTTGACATACCTATAATTCATTTGAACCTTTTATTTATCCATTTCTATGATCTATGACTTTTTATGTGCACTTATAAATATATAAATTATATGTACTTTAATTTGTTTTTAAATTTAATTTTGTTAATTTTCTTTATTTTATTTTACTTTTATTCATAGGTTTTATTTTTTAAAATATTTTTCATTTTTAATTTAATTAAATTTAATAATTTGATTGATAATTTTAATTTAATTATTAATTTAATTTAACTGATTGAAAATTTTTATATTAAATTTAATATTTAATAATATTTAATAAATGCAAATATTAAATTTATTGAGGGAAATTTGGAAGAAAAAATATAAAAATTGATGGAATGATTTAAAAAAAAAAATTATCTCTATGTTAAACGCTTTTATTCTTTTATTCTATTCTATTTAAGAAAAAATAAAGATTTTATGAAAATGAAATATTGGATTATTGATGGTCTATGAGAAACAATGGACGACGATTTCACAACAAATTGCAGCGATTCTCGAAATTCGATTTTCTTCTTCAAATTTTTAAGATCGTATAGATGAAAATATTTGCGAGCAATTCAATGATTTTTTATTCATTATTTTCAGCTTTTATTTGTATTTAATGAAATTATTTGAAAAAGAAAAGAAATATGATAAGCTGATAAGAATGATATTTCATTGTCCGAGAATGAAGTATCTTATGTTATGAACTCGAAATGGAAGGAAGATAAAAGAAAAGAGAAAATGGTAATGGAAAAAATGAATCAAACAACTCATATAGATATTATGATAATAAGTGATAACAATATTATAATAACATATATAATGATAAGCACAATTATAATAATCTTTTTAAAGAGCATTCACCGTTGCTGTTTAGACTCGCATGGCTGACTGGTCGAACTAGACAAATATGCCAGGGATAAAAGTATGGCAGTAAATCGACAGTATCTCTCAGGCAGTAATAACAATAACAATTATTATTATAATAGTACTATTATTAACAATAATAATAATAATACTATTGTTAGCAATTTTCATTTTTTATAATATTTTTTAACATAAAATAAAAATAACATTTTTTATTTTTATAATAGTTTATTGCTTTTTCAATAAGTAATAAAGATGAAAAAAGTTTCAACTATTCTTCGCCACTTGAAAATATTCATAAAAATATTTCTACATTGATGTCATTAAATTCTTTTAATGGGTTTTATAAAATTAATAGTGTTGAAATTATATTAATAATAGGAAACTAAAACTGGCAGAATGGTACTTTATTAATAAAATTTTATTATATTTCTAATGATAATTCATTCCACCTTAAGACTATATTCAAAGATATTTAGTAATTAATAATAAATAATTATAAATTATTAGTAATAATAACGGTAATAATTAAAAGTAATATTTAATTATTTATTAAATTAAATATTTTTTTAAAAGTAATAATTAATAATAATAATAATGACAAACAATAATTTTATAGAAATAATAATAAATAAAAATCAGTAAATAATGATAAATAACCTTAATAATAATAAATAAATAATTAGCACAAAATAATTATTATTAAATAATTTTAAGAATATTAATATTTTTGGTAACTAATAATTGATAATAAATGATAATTCGCAGTATATTAATTATTACGAAAATTTAGTAATAATTAGTGATAATAATAATAATAATACTAATTAATAATAATTGATAATAGTTAGTAATAATGAGTAAATAATAAAAAATAATAGTTCGTTCCCTCTAAAAATTTGATGAATACAAAAGTGATTTTATCAAATAAAAATATTTTAAAAGATTCCACAGCTTATTTGTTTATAAAACAATTTATTTGTTTTAGTTTTAAAATAAAGCTAAATAAATTCAAATGTTTAATTAATATCTTATTCAAAGCTAGTTTCTTGTTTTTCATAAATTTCATAAAAATTTTTTTCAAAATTTTGAAAATCGCTAAATTTAACATTAAATAAGTTTATTTAATTAAATTTTACCAATTTTTTAAAATAATTTTCTTTTCTTTTGCACTAACACTAATGGAAGCCATTTCTTTTCTCATCGTCAAAGTACATATATTGCTGGTCCACCTATACATTTAAAATCTTTTCTTTCTGTATCAGTCCAGGTCCACCTCGCTTTTGCCGCCATCCATCACAAGGCAATTTAGCAATTAACGAAATATGTATCAACTACTTATAATTGGCAACGAAGAACGTGCCCTAAACAGCGATAAAAGCGCTGCCCTATGTGGGGACTGAAAAGCTTATTTGAGCGAAAGGTAGACACAGCCATATGAGATTTTATTTTCTTTATAATAAAAATAATAACAATAATAAAAATAATTTTGCGATTCGAAAAAAGTAATTAAAATTTATTCAATAATATTTCAGTGCATTTATAATGGCTTTTATAATTTTAATGGCTTTTTATCATAAAATATTTATTATATTTTTGCTATTAAAACAATGAAAATTATTTTTTAAACGGTTCAGAATGGTTGATTTTTTTTCGATAAAACACCAAATCCTTTACATTTATTTCATTAGATTTGATTGTAAAGAAAATGGCAGAAACGATTTTAAACCGCGAAAAATATGTAAAAGCAATAATTTTTATATTTTATTTTATAAATAGAAATCAAAAAAACCAACTAATAGAAATATATATTTGTATTTTATCCAATAAGTTTTTTATTTTTTATTGAAAAACTGAAAATTGAAATTTGAAAATTCATTTTTCAATCATAAATTTACCAATTTACCCGAAAAAAAATTCATCAATTATAATTGAAAATATAAATCTTCAATTTTTACGGAAAAAATTTTCTATTTTCTCACTGAATAGAAGTTTATCGATAAATAAATTTGTAAAAAGACCATTGAACCGAATTTTTTTTATTAAATCGTTAATTTCAATCAGGTACAATAAAAGAGTGAAAACCTAACAAAAAATATAGAAAATTGCAAAAATATAATTTTTTCATCAAATTTTTCAAATCATTTCGAAAATAAATCGCTCGATAGCGATTAGAAATAATGATTAGAAATATTGCGATAGATATTGGTTGATTGCTTATCTTTTTATCATACCTCATATCATTCTTCTTATCACATTATCATATCTAAGCTTAAATCATAAGTTCCTTGATTCTTTGAGAAGAGAGACTAATCTTTTTGTGCTATAAAAAAAATCGAAATTTCATTGTTATTTTTCAAATGTTTGCCGTTATTTTAATAAAAATAATAAAAAGTTCGCAAACAATTGTTGATTTCTTTCGAAATTTTTCACGAATTATTTTAAGTAAATATGTTTGCAAAAAATAAATTTTTATTTTTATATTATATAAATTTATAATAACTTTTATATTATAATTTTTATATTATATAGAAATTTTCAAAATATTGATGGTTTAATTTTTTGGAAACTTTAAACTATAATAAAATATTAAAAACTTAAACATCTATATAAATATATATATAAAATTATTATTTTTATGAATATTTATTCATTATTTTCTAATATTATTTATTATTATTATTCGATACTAAAATTTCTTCATCAAATTCTGAATTTTCCAATTGTTTTTTTTTCCAATTTTCTCAGTTAAGAAGAGAAATGAATTTTTGAGAATGCACCACCATTCATCTTTAAATGATTTATAGATTTAAGTATCAAAGCAAAAATCGAAGAAAACTGATAAGAAATTTATAACCATTTTTGAATGGATTTTTTTGATGATTAATGCGAAAAATAAGTTTTTATTGTTCATTTAAAAAATTTGTTATTTTGTTATTTCATATGAATGACAAATGATTTAGCTGATTTAGATGATATATGATAAATCATCTTAAATTTATTTTTTTTAATCCACGAAGTTCAATAATAAATTAATTTCAACTAAGCATCTTCAGAATGTTAATGCTAAAATGCTTGTTGATAATACATAACTTTGCGCCAGTTGATAAACATTTAACAGTAAATTGCTAATCAGACGACTTGAAAAATGACATAGTGGCGAATTATTAAGACTAAGGCTGAAAATATTTTATGCCTAGTCTGTGCTAAGCCTAATATTACTTTTGCCCTCATTTTTTTCGTTTCAATTTATAAGTGAATTTGAAAAGAATTTAAAATCAAATGCGATTAGCCTAATTTTTTCAATCACTATAATCATGGCAGATTTT